GATCCCGCGAGGGTTTATACCGGAGCTAAGCCCTGGGGAGGCCACCGAAGACGGGAGAGACTGCGTCCGACGAGCGGCCATTCCGAAAGGAGAGACCTTCGCAGATGGCGTGAGGATAATCGAGGACTATCGACGCAACAACGTCAAGAAAAAGGCCAACATACCCAATAGCACTCATTGGCCAAACATCAGGAGTTTACGAAGGAAACTGGGAGCCGTCTCAGACAAGTGGCCTTCTGAAGAATTCAAAGACCGGAAGGTTGATCTGCGAGGCGCGTATAGAGCGGTTGGAGTGCATCCAGTCGAGCGGAAGCATCCAAGCTCCGTACAAACAAAACTGGAAGCACCCGATTCTCCGAGGATATTTCTATTACTGGATTCTTCTACTGGAATTTCACCCGTGATATGAAGAACACTAGTGAAAAATATATTTCATGACTACTACATATCGCGAATATCGCGTTTTTCACGGAGTATGACGGCACTTCACGAAGAACGGGCGAAACTCCACTGCTTTCAGCATTTACTATAATCAGTAGTCCTAACCTGTTTTCAGACCTCGTTCTCGAACTGCATTCATCGGAAAGGGGTGATATATATCGCAACTTGATATTTTCAAGTCCGGTTCCCAGTTTCACAACTGTTAATGATTTACCTATTCGAATAACACTTCACTGGATATAATTGCAGGGAATGTCGTAAACTGCAGCTTGATGATACTTATCCGATGTGGAAAATATTCACCGTAAGCTCAGCTAAGGGATTCCTTCACCCGAGAGAGACACATTGTGTGCTACGGGAGATTGGGACAGCGATCGATGATGATGCACCAGCATCTCCCAGAACGATTCATAATTGGAACACCGAGCCAATACTTGTCTACTGAAGTAAGATCGACCCAGCACAAATTCACGACGCGATTTCGAAACTCAACAGTTGGGCGTAAAGAATCATCTTTATCAAATCCTCAGAGTCATGATGATCAGGTCTGATGATCAGACCTTCACATTTACAATGGATGAATCGAATAAATTGATAATCTATCCAGCAAAAGAGAGACCATCGAGCTAGACGAGAGTTCACTGAACAAGTTATCAATGACTCGGTGTCATTGACGCCATCATCATGAGACGGAGTCTGAGTGAAAAATTAAACCTTTTTTCTTCCAAGTATCTTATTGACAGCCGCCGCAGCATTCACGCGGCCGAAGGTAAGGGTCTCTACCCCTTTACTGTCCTTGACACCTTGGGTGGCCGTATCCTTGATGATACTTTTGATGTAAGCAGGGGTCAGCTTAGCCTTCAGAGAAGGTTCAAGGCTGTAGAGCATCCCAGCTATACCTGCTACAATAGCGGCGGCACCCGAAGTGCCCTTACCTGTGGCATACTTTCCTTCGAGATCAGTTGTAACTATTCCGTTACCTGGAGCGGCAATGTCAACAGCTGAACCGAAATTGCTTCCATCCGTAAGCTGCATGTTGGGACCATACGTGGCAGCCACACATAACACTCCATCAGCGGGTGAACGGCCGAAGGAACAAGGGAAGTCTGGATTTATGTCCAAATCGCGGTGCTTATTCCCTGCCGTGACGACAACGA